TGCTTGATCGCTCTCAGTTCTGCTCAGTGGACACCTCTCTCCACTGCTGGATGAGCTGCGCGATCACGCTCGTGCTGGTTCGCTGACAGCAATTTCTCTCCGCTGTTGGATGAGCTGCATCGGCACGCTCCCTCTCTCTGGGTGGAGAACTCGAACGTGCTCGTTGCTGGTTTGCTGAAAGCAGGTTTTTCTCCACTGCTGGATGACTCAAGTCGCACGTGCTCTTGCTCTGGTTTGCAGAAGCTCTTGCTTGGTGCGTCGGTCGCTCTGCAGCTGGACTCAATGTAGAATAATCTTTCAGCAATACTCTGTCTTTCAGCTCTTGGAAATCACACTAGGTGACGCCTCACTACCCTGCGAGTCTTGCCAACGTCAGTGGGTAGCGACGGGGCCACTTTGGCTTCTGCTCGCCGCCCCCTGCTCTGCAGCTCGCCGACTGGCGACCTGTGGCTCTCGTTGCCGATTTGAACTGCTCCTGAGCTGACCCACTGGTCGAACTCTCTCCCGTGTCGAACCGCCCCGAGTTCCGACCCCCCTGGTCGAACTCCCCGAGTTCCGACCTCCGAGTCAAACTGTCTCCCGAGAGTCGACCCACTGGTCGAACTCTGGTGAGCCGACCCCCTCCGGTCGAACTCTTCGCGTTGCTCCTCCGAGTCGAACTGTCTCCCGAGAGTCGACCCCCCGGTCGAACTCTGGTGAGCCGACCCCCCCCCCGGTCGAACTCTGGTGAGCCGACCCCCTCCTGTCGAACTGTTCCGAGTTGCTCCTCCGAGTCGAACTGTCTCCCGAGAGTCGACCCCCTGGTCGAACTCTGGTGAGCCGACCCCCCCCCCCCCCCCGGTCGAACTCTGGTGAACCGACCCACTCCTGTCGAACTGTCTCCCGAGAGTCGACCCCCCGGTCGAACTCTGGTGAGCCGACCCCCCCCCCCCAGTCGAACTGAGGTTTCAATGCTCAGGATCCTCTTTTTATGCCCAAAAATCCCTTCACTCGGATCCTGCCCACAAGGCGGGGTTTCTTTCGATTTTTGCTGTGTCAGGATTTGTCCGTATGTATCTGTGTCCGTGTGTGTCCGTACGTGTGTCAGTGTGTGTCCTTGTGTGGATCACCCACGGTATATTCCGTTGTCATACTCCTACCATAAAACCCACAAGTAAAACAATCAAATGTTATAAATTGTCTCGAAGGCGCCTCTCTGTCTGAGTGCACAACCTGGAGGGAGGGGCGATATTCCCTCCGACTTTCACCGACGCACAAAGAAATGGTTAAAAAGTTTTAAGTTAACATTTCATTTCATCAGAGTTCCACAGTTATGATTCTGTATTAATCCAAGGTCTGAGTCAGCTTCTCGTTGTGGTGTTTGACTCGTGTTTCCCCAAGCATATACACACTCCTACCCCGCGCTGCAGGGATACAAAGACGGCCAGGATTTCCCTTTCTCTCCGACCCTGGGTTTAACATCGCCCTTTGCTTACGTTGCAGTTTTGCTGTGCGCTTGCATTTCTTTTCCTCTCTACTCTTACTTTAACCCTGCTTATTATTTGCGTATGGGTGGAGGCTAGAGCATTTATGTTGACTTAGGAAAACCTGATTGTTACAGGCTTCGGGTCAAGTCGTATAGAAATTATTAAAATACGGAAATACATTTCATATTAAATTAATAGACGGGTGATGGTTACATTGACGTAGCTTGTGGCAGGGTTCAATTGAAGTGGGTGTGAAGATCAATAACTTTAGCCTACCCTGTCGTTAAATTCCGACTTTAAGTTACTTTAATAGTAATGCAGAACCAATTAGCTTTTTTGACTTAACTAGATCTAGGCTAACGCAACCTCCCAGTGACCCTGGCTTTGTGTTTACGTCAGCTCCTTGCAATCCACTGCGCTCTGCTCTCTATCTGCTCCCTCTGACCCTGGGAGGGCTCTGAACATCAAAATCGTGTTAGTGGGTCAAGGTAAATATGACCTCCACATACCATGCTGAGGCCTGGTTTGGTGTTTTTATTCATTATTAAAATTAAAAGAAACAATAGAAATATGTATCTATATGTATTGAAAAATTACTTGTTAATATTAAGATGGAAAGGGGGGCATATACAACAATATACAGTAGATGGCTGGAGCATGCCACTAAGAGATTAAGCCTTTCCATCTGTCTCACCAAAACAAAGCACCTGCCTTGGTATTTTATGTCCATCAAATACTCGACCCCCTCATTTCTCCATCTTGAGTCATGGCGCAATTGGGGAAGGAGTGGAGAGTTTCTCTACCTGGACAGTTTGGGGGCCAACTTCCGCTTTCCTGTTCCCGGTGAGTGGGCGGGGCGTGACATCCACCCCCTCCACTCCCCCCTCCTCCTCGTCGGCCACCTCTCGCCGGGCCCCCGCCGATCAGGTGATCGCCCCCCCCCCCCCGCGCCAGTGCCCTCTCTGAGGGACATGGCTGATTGGCTAGCTCACCACCCCCCGGGGCTATCCCGCACACGCCCACGTACACCATCACACAAGCGAACGCGGAGGCGTGCACGCGCACGCCCCTGCAGGAGCGTATTTGCGCTAAAGAAAACGGGATGGCGGCGGTATTAATATGCGCACGCCCCTCCGGGTGATTAAGCCCTAATCTGCTAGCACACAAAGGTTAATGCTAAAGGGCTGTATGAATACACGTGCATGCCTTAATGCTATTGCCGCTGTGTAAACACGCCGGCGAGCTGGTTTATTGCACCCCGCCCTAATTACTCATGCGGCACACGCGCGTAAACGCGCTCAAATTACCAACACCGCGCCGATGCTGCAGCCCCGCGCTCACTCTCTCGCACACACAGTCTCCCCGCGCAGACGCACGACATACAAATCACTGAGGTGTTCTACCCACACACACAAATCACACTGCACCGATACTCTTAACTAAAGTTTATTAACGGCGCAAATACACACTACTTGTATGTGGAATATTTTGCGAGGAGAGCCTAGCCTAACTCTGCCTATGAACCCCGTCACACAAACGTCCTACCACGTACCTCGAAGCTGGAGTCACGGCATCCCACGGACGCTGAGAGAGTCGGAGGGAGGAGGACGAGGGAAGACTTGACCTATCACTGTCTCGCAGCAGCACTCGCTGGCATCACACGGAGGCTGTGAGCGGCTCGAAGAGGCAGGATGGCAGGGAGAGGGTCTTGATCGCCCGGAGGTTGAAGCCAAGAGAGCGAAGTCGTCCCCTGGCTCTTTTTATGCTCTAAACTTCAAAGGCTCAGGGTGACGTCGTACCGCGCAGCCAATCGGGCGCTTACCTGTGCTGCCACTCCTTTATTTTCTTCTCCCATGGGGGAGTGCTGCTACTCCGCCCACCCATTGTTCTCCCGTGCCCAGTAGTTCTAGTCTACGGGTCTGCTCTTTTTTCCTAATATTCCACCCTCAGCCTCTCCCAATGTCGAGAATAACTTATTACGGTTGGCCCAGTGAACCTTTCCTTCTGCGCCCATACAATTTTAAGCCAATTTAGGGGCACCGCAATGTAACCTGTCCTGTGAGGGTCGGCCAATCTCCTGGCACCAGGAAACCGTGGGACTCTCCCTCTAGGGGCCCTTCAGATTAAAACCCGATGTGCCAGGCATTCCCCTGCCAGGACACTACGTGGGTGCGCTGCGTGCGGGTGTGTGTTTAGTGCGGGGGCTGGGAGGAAATCGCAGCACTTGCGGAGTTGCTCCGCGTTCGTGGCACCACAATAGTGTGCTTATGACCAACTCCAGTTTGGCAGCTGTTCCATTTTGAATCAGTCAAGTGGCATCTTTTTATTGGCTGTGTAATGCTTTGTGGAAGTTACCTGGCCTACTGTTGCATGACAAGCTCTGGGTCTTCTCCGCCACAGCTATTTGCCCTCCCTTCTCTACGCTTGCAAAACGTGGACCCCTTTAAAAGGACAGCTAGAAATATTCAGGTTGACCTCCCTACCAGCCATCCTGGATTTAACCAGACCGGATTGTGTGAGGAGCTCAGATTCTTGAAAGATTTGGACACAGTCCTATAATCTGTGCGCTCTGGCAGGCAAAGCTATGTTGGCTCGGTCATGTCGCCCACATTCCCTGTTTGACCGGAAAGAGGGGCAAAACAGGTGCGCCATGTGCTAGACAAGAGATGGACTGATGTTGGTCGAGGAGTTTGTAGCAGTATCCAGATCAGCCTTTGGGGAGGCTCGTGAAGGACGCTACTGTGGCAGTCGCCCTCCAACAACAATAGAGGGCAGAGAAGCGATGCTTACAATGAGCGGAGCAGCATAAATGCAACAAATTGGAAAAGTGGGGAACAGGTGATGCATCTGCCAGTCATCTAAGGCAACCCATAACAGCTGGCTCTTTCCCATGACTTCCTGCTGGTGAGCCTTTGACTCTTCACTTGGCCTAAAAATGCATCTAGCCCTGGCGCAAGGGCTGTGGTGATGTCATCACCACTTGGTGGTGAATGGCGACTGCTGTGTGTGAGTGTGTACTATGTGAGATACTTACATTTGTGTGTGATAGTGCACACTGTATGCATGAGCATATCTCTACGTATGTGACTCCCCATGCCATGTGAGGAGCGGGAGTGTATCGGTTAGCGTGTGCCGCACTACGAACCCTGCCACCCGAGTTTTCCGCTCATGGCCAAGGCCAGTGACAATTACCTGAACCAGTCCTGGGCCTCCCCTAGGTCGACTCAGCCTCAAATGAATACGTGATGCGGTGTGTAAAAACATCGCCACTGGGGAGATGAAGGCAGTTGGATGTGGTGCTGACCACCAACCCCCTCCATGTGCCATGCTAGACATAATAGGTGATCGCTAACAGCACTTGCCCTCACATTTGGTTAAGGCTATATGGGGGATCTTTGTCTTTTTTTGCCCCATGCCATAAACGCACGCTGGCAGCTGCAGTGGGAAAACAAACCTGGTACCTTCTGAGCTGTGCCCAGCTGGATTGGCACGGCTTGAATGTGTAGTGAGTCCAACTGAGTCGCAGACGATGTCTTAGGGAGCAACACATTTTATTAAACTATTAACACAACATACCCTCAGGTAGTGACCACCCAACTAACCACGCTACAGCGGAACTAGTAACGGTTCTGCTATCCCGGTCCGGGCCACAAGCTGAGTCCCGGACCGTGTGGCTGGAGGCTTCTTCAAGCTTGACATGGATCTCCTGCCTCTCCAACAGTAAGAACCCCGAGCCCCTCACAGGGGCGCGCCCCCCCTTATATCGGGCCGGCCTGGGGCTGGCTCTGCCTCTCACCCCGCCCACCGTTTCGATCTCTCTTGCCCTTGCCCGAAGGCTCTCGAGAGTTCTTCCTGGACCATGTGACCACCCATTGGCCCCCTCCACCGGTGGCCCCCCTCCAGTATCATCCGGTCACATGTCCCCAGGTCAACCAGAGTATCATGCCCCCAACGCAACCCGAGCTGGCTGAAACTCTCTTGCTCTCTCAATGGGAGCCCGCACCGCATGCTACACACAATAGTATACATCCTGCCGTGGCCTCGTAGGCCGGGCACCACACAGTGACTTTCCCAGTCACTACATCACCCGCCCCCTCCATAGCACTCAGCCATCCCGGCTGTCAACATAACGCACGTGTGCTCCAACAACAAAACTACCAATAAATACCAAAACCCACCTGTACAATTATACACTGGCTAACAATGAAAATAATGCAGAACAATAACAATCGCGACATGCAGGGCCCCCGCAATCAACAGTGTAACAACGCTCGTGAGCTCAATGGCAAGCAAGGTCAGCCAATTACTCGCTATGACTCACGCGAGCGCGACAACCAATGACGGCGTGGGAGTGCAACGTGCGGGGATTATGCAACCCGAGTCTTTGAGAGAGTCCGCAATGCCGGGCCTCCAGGGGGGTTGGGCTCGTCCGCCCTGGATGACCCGGGGGAAATGAGAAATCGATCGGACGAAGCTGGGCTCCTCACGAGTAGTAGGCCGGACCGTCCGACCTTCCACGTCCAGAGCACGCGAGGCCGACACGAGCGGCCGCGTGCGAGGCATCAATCGCGCACCGCCTGGGGACGGAACAGAAACACTCCTGAGGACCGGCGTCAGCAGACGTACGCCTCAGCTCGTTGGGCACACCCAACACTCGGCCCCTGCGATATGGAGATGAAACAAATTAACATGGCGCAATAAACGGTTTCAGATGAGAGGGGTGAACAAACCAACTCTGCTTACCAAGCCGAATTTGGACACATTGTGGACACACGACCCGAACAACATCAACCGGCCCCCTTCCAGGGTTGCAGCAACTTAGGGGATGTGCTAACGGGCACATGCAGACAATGCAACCAGACCCTGTCGCCCGGCGACAGGGAAACACGAGAACCCCCTTCAGCCGCTCGTTAGCCAACTGTCTGGCTCGGGAGTTGACCCTGGAAGCTTCCCGCGCTTCGGAGAGCTTTACAAGAGTGAAACGAATGGAATCCCAAATTTTTTACACTTTCACGGCCAGCGCGGCCTGCAACTTTACGTCGATGGGAGGATCATATTCCCGTCCATACATCAAAAAGAAGGGAGTGTAGCCGGTGGATGTGTGAGGGGCCATCCTGTAGTCGGCGAGAACCGCAGGGACATGCAAGTTCCAATCCAACTGTGACTCGCTGACCAGGTGACTCAACATGGAGGTCAGCGTTCTGTTCAGGCATTCTACCATGCCCATCTGTCTGCGGATGGTATGGTGACGTGCACACCTTGTTTGTCCCCAGCAAATTGCAAACCTCACGCAGCAGTTCCGAAGAAATTGTCTTACCTTGATCGGTCAAAAGGCACTCGGGGGCACCCTTATTCAGGATATAGCCATTTAAGGAATGCCTCGGTCACAGCTATAGCCGATTGATTCGAGAGCGGCCAGGCCATAGGCCAGCGAGAGAAATAGTCAACGCCAACGAGCAAGTATTTGTTGCCTCGCACGGAAGTTGGAAACGGACCTCAGAATATCGAGGGCAACCAGTTCGTTGATTTACGACACCTGAATGGATTGCAGCAGAGGGCAACAAGATTTCGCCGGTGGCTTCTGCCGTGCACATTGTACGCAACCTTATGCAAATTTTCAACGTCCGGGGCCATGGCCGGCCAATAAAAATCCAACTTGAGTGTGGCCAGCGTTTTTTCACACCCAGATGTAACAGACGTTAATGGACAGCCCAAACAACTTCACCAAGCAGAGTGTTAGGGACAACAATAGCGTACCGGCGTAATCCACCGTCCCAGTGCATGAGCAGCCCGTCCCGCAGGACAACCGAGGCAACACCACGTGTAGCCGCCTTACCGGCGGTCTCCTTGACTCGCTGTCGGAATTTAAGCAAGGACGCATCTTCCGCTTGCAAGCGCCCCCCATACCTCGTAGTCCAACCCAATTACCGCATCTTGTCCAGCCGGGACATCGCCCGACCCGCCCATAGTGTCCATGGCAGACGCAATGAGAGTTGGGGGGGAGGGGTGGGAGGTTGACTCGGCCGGTCTCCAACGACCGGAACCCGAAAACCATGCACACCCGCCACCCGTGGGCAATCGCGACAGGGCACCAGCGTTCGTGTGACGAGAACCTTTGCGATACGTAACACGGAACAAAATCCTGCAGGATTTCAAGCCAGCATGATAATTGGCCCGAGGGCTGATCCACACGCAGCGCGTATTGGAGCACTGCGTGGTCGGAGCGCACCTCGAAATGTCTGCCGTACAAGATGAGGCCGGTATTGCTGCACGAAAACAACAATGGCCAACAATTTTTGGCGCATAACACAGTACCGCTGCTCGGCCGAGGACAGCACCCTGCTCCCATAAGCGACCACATGCTCCACGCCGTTGACAACTTGAGATAATACTGTTCCAATATAGGTAATACTAGCGTCCGTATCTAAAACGAACGGTAATTAAAAATCGGGATAACGCAGGGGATTGGCGTTGACCTGCCCATTGCGGATGGAACGGAACACGGCTTCCTCCTCCTCCCAATGAAATTTTTGCCCCTTAGCAGTCAAGGCGTGGAGAGGCTTAGCAATGGATGCAAAGCCGGCGAAGCAAAGCCGATAAAACTGTGCACCTCGCTCGCCGAGGTGGGTGTCAGCCACGTGCGGACACACGCCGTCTTCTCCGGGTCCGTATCGATACCCGATTCGCTCACTACGTGACCCAAATATCGAACCGATTTTTGGAGGTGACACTTCTGTGGTTTAAATTTCAGGTCGGCCGTACGCATCTTAGGAAAAACAGCCCGCAGGCAATCCAAATGTTCATCGAACGTATGACCGAAGACAATAACGTCATCCAAATATATTAGGCTCGAATCCCAGTGGAGGCCCGCTAAAACCAGCTCCATCAGCCTCTGAAACGTGGCCGGCGCGGAGTGGATGCCCATAGGGAGCCGGTTAAATTCGAACAACCCTTGCGACGTACGAAAGGCCGTCTTTGGCTTGGAAGCCTCATTGAGCAGCAATTCCCAAAATCCCGATAGAAAATCAAAGGTGGAAAAGAACCGTGCTCCCACTCGGGCGTCCAGGAAATCGTCCATACGTGGCAAGGGGTATACTTCCGCGACGGAAACCTTGTTGAGCTTGCGGAAATCAAGACAAAATCGCAAGCTGCCGTTTTCTTGACAAGCACGATCGGGGCACTCGATGGACTGGTGGATGGTGAGATGATGTCCGCAGCCATCTCATCAACCGCCACATGAACGTGTTCCTTCTCGGCCGGGCTCAAGCAGTAAGGATTTAGCCGAATCGGGGCAGCATCGCCCGTATCAATATGGTGGCTCAAAAGTGACGTGCCAATATCAAATTTACTTTTACTAAAAATGTCAGAAAATTCACGTAAGAGCATGCAGCTTCCCCCTTTGTCCCATAGATAAATCGCCACACTCAGAGCAAAGTTTATCAGTCCATCCCTCGTCCACATCCCGCCGACCCCGACACTTCCCACAACGTCCCCCTCTGGACGCGCCGACGAAGCACGGTACCCTCCTGGATGGTCGTTGTCCAGCCCGGCATTCAGAACCTGAATGAAAGGTTCTTGGTCCTGGGCTGCCACTAGCGACATACCGCAATTAAGTTTATTGGAGGGCCCCAAAACAACACCCTCATCCGCAGTGCGCACATCTAGCAGTTTTCGTAACCGGAGGGGCACTAAGATTTGTGCGCCAGGCGGAATCCGCACTTTTCGGCATGCAATAGCCTGCACCGTTGCGTTAGCGGAAGACATACGAGTCGGCGATGGAAAAAATGTCATACGCCGTCCCGACGGCAATTCCAGACAGCCCTGATCAACACATCTTCAGGGGCATCTTGCCCAGAAAATCGGTCCAGAGCAAACACGGGATGGCTCGGGCTGTAGAAAGCAAAACGTGGCCCGACAATTTGACATCGGCGATATGCAACTCAGCCGTTATCCGTCCGATTATTCCCAACAATCCGTCATTGGCGGCAAAACACGGAGCATCCACAGGTTCCAAAACGCGACACCGGGGAGGTAAAATGTTATAGATAAGTTCAGAAATAATGGTCGAAGATGCGCCGGTATCAACGAGCATACGGATTTCCGACGAACCCGTAGCCGCCGCGACCACTCGACGGGCCAGCTCCGACCACTGATCCGGTTGGAGCGGGCGGGCGTCACGAACACGTCCCGACTCCCCCCGAACCCACGCGCGACCCGACCCAAACTGGACCCCCCTGATGGGTGAAGTGAACCCCAGGGCCAAGTATAGGGTGCGCCACGACTCACCTTATGAAGCAGGGAGCCGTAGGATTGCGGACTTCCCAGGGGCCGCCATCGAGGAACCCGACAGCCCGACTGGACGTGCCCCGGCAGGCCGCAGTTGTAGCAGACGACCTGGCCACTCTGGACTGAGATGATGAAGACCTCGCTCGTCGCCGGTCGTCCCTCCGCCGATCGTCAGCACCCCGATGGGCGCCACCCCGCTGGTGCAGCAGCATGCAGGAGCAGGCTCGGTCTCCGCGCAGGCCTCCGGCTCTGTTGAGGATGTGGCGCACGCCACCAACACCCTGTCGCGGTGCAGGATCTGCTGTGCCTGGATGCACCTGGCGACCCAGAGTGAAGACACCGCATCGTCCTCGGCGGGAAGCACAGTGTGGAGGTCTTTTGCGACTCCCAGCATCTTCTCGAGGACCAAGGCGTCAAAGACCGTCATGGTCCATTTTAGGGAACGCGGCCTTTGCTAGCGCCAAAGCGCGCTACGGTAGGCGAGAGCCGACTCACCCTCCCCTTTACGTCTTAGGGCAAACTTTTGCCGGGTATTCAATGGAGGCTCAAAAACAGCCGCCATCTGTTCGAACGCCAGCATGAGGGTGGATCTGTCAGATGGCGAGGAATTGCCGCCAAGGCGTCGTCGTCGAGGGTGGCGGGCAGCGCTTTCAGCGCCTCCGTCCATCCCGCCAAGTCAGCATTGGTGAGAAATCGCCGCTTAAATGCTATCCAATCGCCGCTGGCAGCAACAAATTATTTAATGAAGGGTAGTCGGCGGCGGAGCGACGGGATGTCCATTGGCGAGGACCGCTCTGCTTCGAGCTTGGCGGCCTCCGCGCTCCGCGCCGACGGTAAAATGGCGGCCGTGAACACGGGCTGCGCCGTCGACATTCCCGCCCTTTTTGAAATTGCGGCCGAGTCGCTCTGTCCAGACGACTCCACTGCTCCCTCCTTCGCCGCAGCAGTTAGAGGACGCAGCTCGGCGAGGATCGAGGACGCCGTCTGAAGAAGCTCTGCAAGGCGACCGTGCGCGTCTCTGACAAGCGATGGCGAGGCGCCACGCTCTCCGACGGCGCTCTGCTCCGCTGGCAGCGCCTCCGCTCCTTCATCGACAGCCATGAGCGGAATCAGCTCTTCATCGTCTCCGTCGTCCGACGCCCGTGTATGAACTCTGCGACGTGTAGACATGACTGTCTACCTGTTTCTTCACCTGAAGAAGGCTACTTGTGTTGTGGCCGAAACGTCGTGAGAATTTTATTACGTTTTATTTTTATTATTTTATTTCCATTCTACGTGACTTTACCGAAAGAACCAAGAAAACAGAAAAACATTTTTTTATTTTGTCTTTTTACCAATATAATCAATGTAATCTTGAAAATCCAGTTTTGAATCCAAGATGAACCCAAGATACTTATAAATCTTTACTTGCTCTATTTGATAATTATGTAAGGAATGTAATCGGGGAAAAATAAGTTCCTGCTATAGTCCTGGTGAGAAGCATAGCACCTTTGTTTTGTAGGTATTCAGGACTAGTTTTAGAGCAACTAGCTGATGTAGTTTGTTGAAATCACCCTGGAGCTTAGCAATCACATCGTCTGAAGAGCAGCCAGCAGTAATCAGCATCGTGTCATCTGCAAATAGATTTACCCTGGAATGATCCAGGTCAGTCATTGACATGAAGAGAGAACAAGAGGGGCCGAGGATGGAACGCTGTGGAAAACCTTTTGTTATATTAACAGTTTGACCTCCAACCATCTATGAATACAGTTTGGGTGCGAGAAGAGAGGTAATTTTTAAACCATTCCATTGCGTGTTTGAAGAAACGGAGGCAACTTAGTTTACTAAGCAGGGTGTTGTGGTCGACTGTATCAAAGGCTTTGGACAAGTCAAGAAAAAGACTGGCGCAGTACTGCTTACTATCACGGCTACTGTAAATGTGATTCAGAGAGTCTAATGCAGCAGATGTGGTGCTGTATGTTTTTCGGAACCTAAATTGGTTTCGATGTAAGAGATTATTGTCGGACAGGAAACTGCGAATTTGGTAGTTTCAAATTTTTTCAACATTTTTAATCAACGGGGACAAAATTGAGATAGGTCGGTAGTTATTTGGATCATCTTTAGGGCCCTCTTTGGACGAACATAGGAATGTTTCCATTCTAGAGGCACTGATGCTTCTTTTATGGACAGGTTGAAAAAAATGGCCTGTAGGTTTGTATATTAGGTTAGCAACAGTTATCAGAGCAAAGACGGGAATGCTATCCGCTCTGGTAGAGGAGGATCCTTTGAGGTAGGAGTAGATGAGACATGCATGAGTTAATGAGGGAAAAATAAGTGAGCAAGTGAGAATGTAAATTTTGATTTAAAGCGTGCGCGACTGCAGGGATTCATATTCTTGGTTCTTTCGGTAAAGTCACGTAGAAGGGAAACAAGAAATAATAAAAATATAAAACAATAAAATTATCACGACGTTTCGACTGCAACACCAACAATCATCATCAGGTGTGAAAACCACAGCAAGAAAATTTGAAAAAAGTGGCGTTTTTTTAACGTAGGGCACCACGGAGAGCGATTTGGCAGTTATTCAAATGGACAAGTCCATCTATGTTTGGAAAAGAGGAGGGGGGAGACGAAAATAATGGATGCGGTCTTAATTGAATGTTCACGTAAGCGTGAACAATCAATTAAGACCCGAAATGGTTGATCAAATCCTTCCAATGATTGCTAAACCAGAATCCATCTTCTCGGTTGAAATTGTCACTGTTTGTATATGTGGATAGCCTCATGAATGAATCTTTCATGGTAGCCAGATGGCTTACAAAGAACCTCTGTCTTGGAGAAGTCAATGTCATGTGAGCCTACTGAATTATAACAGTGATCTGCCATGGCCTTGGCTTCTCCAATGTAACTACTACCACAGAGGCAACTTAGTTTGTAGACGCCAGGGTACTGTATGTCCGGAATCAGATCTTTTACAGACGGAACCAGATCACGGATTTTATGTAATGTGTTGAATCGGACCTGGATCTTGTGTTTATTCAAGATTTTGGAGATCTTTTTTGTGATCCCCGCAATGTAGGGTAAAGTGATGGCTTTGAAAGGCTCGTCTTCATGGTTGGAGTGATAGCTTTGCGGATTGTGTAGTCGGAGTAACCATTCGCCATAAGAGCTTGGTGTACATGCTTGAGTTCACTGGCTATGTGTTCCTGGTCGGATATGCATTGGGCTCTATGGTGCAGAGTCTTGATGAGGGAATTCTTCTGGGATGGATGGTGGTGGGAATCCGGTTTCAGGTAAGCATCCGTACGAGTAGCTTTCTTGTAGACAGAGTGGCTCATTGAACCATCAGGTCTCTTTTTTATTAGGACATCCAGAAAAGGTAGCTTGCCATCTTTTTCGACTTCCATGGTAAATCTGATGGCTGGGTGTATGGAATTGATGTGGTCGAGGAATTGGTCTAGAGCAGGCCAGCCATGTGGCCAGATGACAAAAGTGTCATCCACGAAACATCGTGAGAATTGTATTGTTTTATATTTTTATTATTTTAATGTTTCCCTTCTACGTGACTTTACCGAAAGAACCAAGAATATGAATCCCTGCAGTCACGAAAGCTTTAAATCAAAATTTAACCGCCTCTACGGGGGAGGGTTTGCACATAACTTTGAGATCCTTCAACAAACTCCGGGATAAGAAGGCTCAGCTGATCAAGTCTCTCACCTTTCTGAAGAGATGCCGCGATTCTGGGGTAATACCAATCGCATTTTCACTGACCTCTGCTGCTATAACTTCTTCTAATGCGAAACGAATTCTTTCCAGAACTAGCTTAGCTCTTATCTCAGAGAAAATCAGACTTATACGCACCGAACTAGATCAGTTAGACAAGACACTCTACAAATCACACTTATCATTGATGGCAACAATGTCCGCATCAGATTGGGAACATGTAGACAATATGACTGCCTCTTCAGCTACCACTTTGTCGACCAAATGTAAGGACAACCTGATTTCCAAATTTAACCTCTTCTCCAACAAAAGACCGGAACCACACACCAAAAAGCTAGACGTTAACAAAGTCGTAATTAATCGCAGTAACAGTTCTATTTCCGATGGTCTGAAATCCGTTTTAGCTAAAGGGCTAAACTTTGCAGTCACACCTAAACACATACCAGTTAATCATATAATTGCCCAAGTAGACGTGGCTCACAAGGGCCTGGGTCACATCGCTGCAGACGTAGCAAAATCTGAAATCGCTGCAACCATCAACAACGCTAAGATGCCAGCTAGCAACCTCAGCAAAGATGAGCGTTTTGAATTATATAAATTAAAAAAGAGGGATGACATTGTCATCCTTTCAGCCGACAAGGGCAATGCCACTGTCATCGTGGATAAAATAGAATATAACAACAAAATTCAAGAATTACTCAACGATAGCAGCTATACAAAAATAAAAAGAGATCCCACCAACAGCCTCGTCATACAAACCAACAAAATAATTTCTGATTCAACTGCATTAATTGATCAAACCAAACAGTTCTCGTTGAAACCTTCTACTGCCAGGCCACAAAGATTATACGGCTTACCAAAAATACATAAAGTAGATACACCCCTTCGTTCCATCGTCTCTAATATCAACTCCCTCACCTACAAACTGGCACGTTTTCTCTCTGAAATCCTGCGGCCTCTCACTGGAAAAGCCACCTCTGCGGTACAAAATTCTACTCACCTAGTATCGACAATCACGGGTATTTCCCTGTACCCAGACGACCTGCTTTTCAGTTTTGATGTAGTTTCCTTATTCAACAAAGCTCCTGTACCTGACACTATCGCAATCATTGAAGACTTGGTTCATCAATGACTAAACACTGAGGTTCCCTCCCTGGTGAGACACTGCTTAACCAATACATACTTCACTTGGAATGGAACTTTCTACAAACAAACTGAGGGTACCCCAACGGGCTCCCCCCTATCTCCGGTTGTAGCCAACATTTTACTGGAGAAATTTGATACTGACGCCATCCAGACTGCCACTCTGCACCCAACCTTATGGAAGAGGTACGTGGATGACACTTTTGTCATCTGGCCACATGGCCGGCCTGCTCTAGACCAATTCCTCGACCACATCAATTCCATACACCCAGCCATCAGATTTACCATGGAAGTCGAAAAACATGGCAAGCTACCTGTTTTTGGATGTCCTAATAAAAAAAGAGACCTGATGGTTCAATGAGCCACTCTGTCTACAGGAAAGCTACCCATACGGATGCTTATCTGAAACCGGATTCCCACCATCCATCCCAGAAGAATTCCCTCATCAAGACTCTGCACCATAGAGCCCAATGCATATCCAACCAGGAACACATAGCCAAGCTCTTCAGGCTAATGGCTACTCCGACTACACAATCCGCAAAGCTATCACTCCAACCATGAAGAAGGACCCTCTTGAAGAGCCTTTCAAAACCATCACTTTACCCTACATTGCGGGGATCACAAAAAAGATCTCCAAAATCTTGAATGAACACAAGATCCAGGTCCAGTTCAACACATTACATAAATCCGTGATCTGGTTCCGTCTGTAAAAGATGTGATTCCGGACATACAGTACCCTGGCGTCTACAAACTAAGTTGCCTCTGGTGGTAGTAGTTACATTGGAGAAACCAAACGACATGTCTCGGACCGCATTCGTGAACAAAAAGCAGACCAAAAACACGGTAGGACCAACATCTCGACCGTGGCAGATCACTGTTATAATTCAGTAGGCTCACATGACATTGACTTCTCCAAGACAGAGGTTATCTGCAAGCCATCTGGCTACCATGAGAGATTCGTTCATGAGGCTATCCACATATACAAACACAGAGACAATTTCAACCGAGAAGATGGATTCTGGCTTTGCAATCATTGGAAGGATTTGATAAACCATTTCGCGTCTTAATTGATTGTTCACGCTTATGGTGGCTTTCAGACCGCATCCATTATTTTCGTCTCCCCCCTCCTCTTTTCCGAACATAGATGGACTTGTCCATCTGAATAAACTGCCAAATCGCTTTTCAATATTCTTGCTGTGGTTTTCACACCTGATGATGATTGCTTGTGTTGCAGTCAAACGTCGTGAGAATTGTATTGTTTTATATTTTTATTATTTTCCTTCTACGTGACTTTACCAAAAGAACCAAGAATAAGTGAGAATTTAGTTTAGTGGTGTTGTTTAGTTGTGTGGTATTTTAGTTGGTGTAATGAAATTGTGCAGTCGTGTATGCAAGTGGAGTCGTGTGTACTGTAGCCAATGTCGGAGCCAGGATTTTCAGGTAGGGGGGGCAACCCCTCCAGCAATGAAAAATGATACTTGTTAGAACGGACTTATCCCTTGCTTTTTATTTGACGCGTGTGCGGCGATGGCGCAGCCATCGATCGAGGGTCGAATTCGAACCGTTTGTGATCGGCATCGCGCTCGCTGAAGGTTTGCCTTAAGGGAAGTCGTGTACTGTATACACAACTGCGTACAATTCTGTGAGTCACTTATAACTGCTTTGCTTATTGCAAATTATAGAGACTATTGTCCTATCATTTTAGAGTCCCTGGCACGTCATAATATGCTACAGAGTGGCAGTGGGGGTCGGAAAATGCCGATTTATTACTAATATACCCCAATGATCCGATCGAAATGAGAGATTTCGATCGGGTCATCGGGAGGCACGTGCCACTCCACCCCTCCCCCACCCCCCACTGGCTCCGCCAGTGACTGTAGTGGTATAGTGTACAGGTGCAAATTCCCGGGCAGGCCCGTTCAAGCCTCGGGGACAGGTGGCAACACCACATCATGCCCTGAACTCAAGCATCATTCACAGACCATGGTGGCAGTGACAGCCCTGAGTAACAGTTTGAGCCCCACGGTGTAAGAGTTTCCCCCCGCCTCCTCTGTCCACCGCTGGCGGTGTCCTCGATTCAGGTGTTCTTCATCCTGAGGAAGAAATTCAACCAGATCACGTTCCTGCACGTGTACCACCACTCCTCCATGATCATCAACTGGTGGCTGGGTGTGAAGTATGTTCCTGGTGGGCAGGGTGAGTTCACGTGAACCCCCCTGTGGCCTTTCGGTGGACGTGCGTTTTGACATTCCGTGAAAAAAGAGCTTCACAGCTCAATATTCCTCCAGGATGAAGTAAGTTGTCCCTATTCTCATTCAGGGCAACGAGTAGGAACGGGTCGGTATTAGGAGGAACGGTTGAACCAAAAAAATGCAGCAACGGCTGTACAGTTTTGCAATCTTAGCGTGAAAAGCCAAGTTAATGGAACCTCAGAAAAGGAACTGGCACTCAGAATGGCGTAGTAACTGAGGGTAAATGCGAGACCATAACCGGATAACTAGGGCCTCCCATGAAAGGAAAATCCTGACGGCGTCGCTTTAATTCACAAGATGGTTATCACCGTGCCAGCTCTAAAGGGCAAAATAAATTATCGTTCATGAATGTATTGCTCAGCAACGGAATTGTCATTCAGTGAGCACACTGGCATGCAGCAGAGCAGCGCGAGTGAGGCAAGCAGCAGGCACGAGGTGAGATCCCTGCCGCAGCAGCAGGGTGGCAGTGGCAGGCGGCAGGAAGAAGAAGGGTCGCTGAAGCTTCCGACAGCCCGCAGATCAGATATTAGATTATTCAGATATTAGTCAATGATGTTGGCCATGAGCGGGAATAAAAGTTGAGTCTCCAGGTTAGTTGAGCAGCCACTGTGCTAGCGTTCCCCACAAACAGATTAAAAGACAAATATCCCCGTTATAGCCTCAACAGACTGTTGGGGCAAGTGCTGTTAGCGAGCACCTACGAAAGCCGGCACGGCACACGAGGGGGGTGGATGGCCAGAACCATGCTGGGCTGCCTTTTGTCTCCCTCGTGGCAATGTGTACACCGCACCAGGTACTCATTTGAGGTTGAGTCAACCTACGGGAGGCCCAGGACTGGTTTAGATCATCGTCATTGGTGTTGGCCGTGGTGCAGGAATCGAACTCGGATCGCCTGGTTCGTAGCACAACGCGCTAACCACTACACCACCACTACACCACCACTGCTCCCCACATTGAGATACACACTCACATATGTTCAAGCATAGGCAGATGCATAGAGATACACAAGAGCAGACACACACTGATACATAGACTCATGTGGACACAAAGACGCACAAACCGAAAACACGTTCGTACGCATACACACACAAAGACCCTCCTATTGCCATACATGTAGTTGGATGTGTGCCTGTTCGAAATGTTACCATACTTCCCAACATGCAACAAACTTGTGGGTAGTTTCCATACTGTACACAATGTAAAAGGTATAAAAGTATACTTTTTTAATCTGGGGGGGGGTGGGAATAATGGATATATTGCACAAGTGAGTGGTCACGTCACATCTGTGATGGACAACTTTAATTTCGTGCGAAGAACGGGTACACCTGCTAGTTATATAAAATGTAAAATATTACAGAAACAGTATCGAAAATCAGATGGAAGTTAGAAAGTTAATGGCAGACAGGAGCGGCAAAACGCAGGCGTTCCCTGCAAACTAAATGGCTTGATCAAAACGCGTTAAATATTGAACGAGCGAGCAGTTGATTTGTGACTCAGCATTCTTAATCGGGATGGTGAACTCGTTCGTGCACGTCTTCATATACACCTACTACGGCCTCTCCGTGCTGGGGCCCGCGGAGCAAAAGTACTTGTGGTGGAAGCGCTACCTCACCATCCTCCAGCTCGTAAGCACCGCCCCCAACACGACCCCCCACCCCCGTCTTCGCCGGTGCTGCCGTCGCCCCATGCATCCAGCGAACCATAATGCGCCCCCAAATCCTCGATGTGAGCCTCCTTATCCCCACCCCCCGGCCACTCGCACGCTGTCCCACGCCTATATACCTAAGCGGCACGCCACTGGACTAGAAGCTGAACCTACACTTGTGGGGTAATGGTGAAGATCACTGTTGCCATGACGACTGATGCTTTGATGGTGATTGCAGCACTGTCACTGCGTGAGGATAAGGGAGCCAGAGTTATACAATCATCATGATCGACATGGGTAATAGTTCACACCCACCCCTCACAATAAAAACGTAACCGTTCAGTAGGATCACAATTTGATTCAAGAAAACAGCATCTTTAAACTGTTAATTATATTGCCCTCTTAACAGTGTGAGGGGGTCCTGTGAACCACTTACATTAAAACATGTGAATCAAATACATGTATTGAGCCAAAATATATATTTATGAACTGCTGCATCATTACGTCCATACTCATCCACTGGTATTTTTTTAATAAATCCACATTACAGTAAATGTGTAGGGGTGTTGTGAGATGCAGAGGTACAGCCGATCCTTGGTGTGATCCTAGGTGGCTACAACCACGTCCGCTTCTACAGCCCCGCCCAGTGGTTTGTGGGTATAAAGGGCGGGGAGTGAGAGAGCTCGGGGCAGAGTGTTGGGGCCAAGAATGAAGTACCAGGGAAGAAGGAAGACCAGCTAAGTAGAATCCTGGGACTCCCCTGACCGCTGTCCTTCTCAGGATCGGCAGGGCAAGCCAGTTGTACGGCCCCAGGAGCCACAGAGCCGACGTCCTTCTAAGGGCCGGTCTGGTTGGTGGGGTGCCGTGATCTGCGCTTAACCAGGGCCAGATCAGACAGCTTCCCCTAGAGCCCTTAGCTGGAGGAACCGGGGAACATAGGCTTAGGCTAGATAGCCTCGGGGGATATTCCTAAGTGTATTCGGGTGAAGGGGCCGCTATCCCTTCAGTGTGACCCCTTGTTATAAATAAATAAGTGTTGCCTCTACTCTACCGTCTCCGTGTCACTGGAACCCACTACAACTGGTGTCAGAAGTGGTTTTAAAATGGATACACAACGGACGAACCGCTCGCAAGAACCTGTGACGGAGGACGACTCGGTTGGGGCTGTTGGGGGAGAGCCAGAGGATCTGACCGAGGATCCAGGGACGGCCCAGCAGCCGCAGCAGATGGAAGACTGGCCGCCAATGGGGGACAGCTTGTGGGCGGCTCACTCCCGGCTGGTTGAGCTGCTGTACGCCGCGGCCGCCACGCTGGAGGAGATCAACCGCGCGGGGTTGTGGGCGCCGAGGCAGCAGGGCGGGGAACGCCGAGCAACGGCCATTTCCGCCACCGAGCTCCCGCCAGATTTTGGACTTGCCGCCATGACGATGTCCGCCGCGGTGATTGGGGAATCGCAGCACCACGTGGACACCGGGGGCCAATCACCGGTCGTCACGTCATCACTGACGGACGCTCACTGCCAGAGCCAACCGGTGGTCGCGACGTCATCACCTGTGCGACCGCCGATGGGAACCCCCATGCACTCCGATGACGTCAGGAACGGCGGGGACTGCGCAAGGCGGCATCCGGAAGGGGAGCAGACATTTCAACGTCTACCGGTGTTCAAAGAATTTGTATCTGACGGAGGCGACTGGGGGGCCTTCGAGCGTCGTTTCCTCGCCCATCAGATGTCCGGGTGGACGGACGACGAGGCGCTGCACGCACTGCCGGCCACCTTGGACGATGACGCCCACACCACGCTCACCACGGCTCCCAAGGCGGCGCGCACTATGCTGCAGTCTGCACTACGAGTCCTCACCACAGTCTATGGGCCGCTGTCGGACTGTCGACAGGCGTTCTACGAGTGGCGCAGGGGCCAGAAGGAATCACCGCTGGCATACCGCATGGCTGTCCTGGCCCTCGCAAAGGCGGCTTTCCCGCGCATTGACGGTGAAGGGGTGGACGCTATGGTGACGGAGAAGAAACTTCTGGCGCTGGCTCAAGAGCTCCAGATTGTTATCGTCGCAGCGGACGACGCAGACATGTGTTCCTTGCGGGCGGCGAAGTGCATCCACGCACATCTCCTGTCACGGCGTCGACCACCTCTCGTCCCCAATGGAGCGGCTGCAGTGTGTGCTGGGACGCCGACCCCCACCCCCCCCACCGAGGAGGTCTTCGCAGCGGGTCGCCCTACGGAGTGGAGGTCCGGGGGGAGGACGGACCCACCATCATCGGGCCGCCAGGAGCAAGCTAAAGCATCGGGTGTGCTCATCACCTGTTACAACGTGGCTGCAGGATGCCGGGCACCACGACAGCGACGGCCGGGACCACAGCCGGACAGTGCTCCAGCCTACCCACCCCCGCATCTAACTCCGGCAAGTCGCGGCACCACACATGCTCGGCCTGTGCACACACATATCCCTACCTCGCGCGCTCCAGTGCACAAACCCCGGGGTTCGACCGTGGGTTCGTCGGGTTGTGGCGGGGTCGAGAGGGCGCTAGGGCCGAGTCAATGGACCAAATTGGCCCACCGTGTTGTTGCTGCGTCGGCGGGTACGTCCGTGGTCGCGGGGTGTATAGACGGGGTTGAGGTGCGGGTCCTCGTCGATGCGGGTCCTCGTCGATACGGGTGCGTCAGCGACTATTGTCTCGGATTTGATCTATAATATCCTTCCTGTGCAGAGCCGCCCCTTGCTGCCAGTTGATGTTCCGTGTTACGCAGCAAACGGGGGTTCGTTGGGTATCATAGGCCAAATCCGAGCACAAATTTGCATTGGGGATATAAAATTGTCTGGTCCAATATTAGTTTCTTCCTCGCTAGCGGTTCCGTGCTTGTTGGGGACAGACTTTTTGGCCAAAATGCCGATTACAATATTAATTGATCAGGGGTGCATCGAGCTCCCTTCGGGCCAACGTGTACCGTTCCTGTCCTCCCCTGTCACCTCACGGGCGGCATGCACAACGGTACAGGCAGTCGTCACCCGTACAGTGCGGGTACCACCGGGCGCGCAAATGCTCGTGCCTCTCCGGTTGCGTCGATCTTCCGCTCCGGGTGTGACGGATCACGGTGTCCTGTTGGGGCCCTCGAGGGCTGGGGATTGGATTTGGTGGCCTCGCAAACGATCGTTAAGGGGAGCGATGAACCATTCATCATGGTCCTTAACGTCGGAGCGCAGACGGCCGTAGTTAACCAAGGCACCGTGCTTGTGTAGTGGGTTCCAGGACACGGAGACGGCAGAATAGAAGCAGCACTATTTATTTAAACCTTAACAAGGGTTACACTAGAAGGGGTAGCGGCCCCTCCACCCGTATAACTCAGGAACACACTCCAGGCTCTCTAGCCTAAGCTCTAGGCTCCCAGTTCCTCCTGGTAGGGCTCTAAGGGAGGCTATCAGATCTGGCCCTGGTTAGGCACAGATCTCGGCACCCCGCCGACCAGACCGGCCCTTAGAAGGACTCTGACTCTGGGGCTCTGGGGCCGCACCACTGGCTTGCTGTGCCGCCCCTGAAAAGGGCAGCGGTCACAGGAGTTCCAGGGTCTCACCTAGCTGGCCTTCTTTCTTCACTGGTTGCTTCAGCCTCGGGGCCCCACACTCTGCCCCGAGCTCCCTGGCTCCCTGCACTTTATACCCACTGGAGCCTTAGCGGACATTGTTGTAGCCACCAAGGTGTGGGTGAACCACACCTTCCCGTGCCATGTGTTTATTCCCCATAGCACCCCTACATCACCCCCTCCCGTGTAACCCGCAGCCGTCCCGGCTGCAACAATACTCGAACAATAAACACAACAAACCCCCACCGGGTGGCGCAGGCGCGCTGGAAGCCGTCATTCTTGAGGCGCCTGAAGGTGGAACAGCTAGCGAAGCATCAAGGGCAGGTGACGAAGACGCCGTCCGGGAGTCAGCGGACACATCACATGCTCGGCCCGTGCAATGTGGTGGAGGGACGCGCGGCGCCACAAACGGCTTCAGACGCGAGGGGTGTACGTACCAGCGGCGTTTCCCCCACTGGATACGAACGCACTGCGGCCGCATAACCTTCACAATAACTACAGGGCCCCTCCAAGGCCACAACAATTTCGCCGAGGTCGCCAACGGCACCTGAGGGCAGTGCAGCCAGGCTTGATCGCCTGGCTTCCACGCATGTGTGCGTGATTGGCGCGATCGCAACCTCTCGTTGGCCTTCTGCCGAGAGGAAGAGTTTTGGGCCGCTGCCTCCCGTGCCTCGGTCAACCTCAGGATATTAAATTTAACGTGGTCAGCCAATTTCGATTTTCTGCTGGTTTCCGAGACGCGGAGCTGAGTCGCAATTGGTGGGTCAATGTCGCGACCGTACATCAAAAAGAACGGCGAGAAGCCGGTTGCCGCGTGAGGAGCCATTCTATAGGCGGCCAAAACCCCCGGAATGTGAAGGTCCCAATCGGTCTGGGAGTCACACACCTGGTGACACAACATAGATGTGAGCGTCCTATGCAGCCGCTCCACCATGCCATCGGTTTGTGGGTGATAGGGGGAAGTGCGAATCTTTTTCGTACCAAGAAGCGCACACACCTCGTGCAGAAGGACGCCAGAGAAGTTCTTCCCTTGGTCAGTCAGCAGCCGTTCGGGAGCATCCTTGTCGAGGACATAGCCCTGGACAAAGGCCTCGGCAACGGCTGCTGCTGACTGGTTAGCGAGAGGCCATGCCATAGGCCATCAGGTGAAATATTCCACGCCAACCAGCAGGTACTTGTTACCCCTAGGGGTCGCAGGGAAGGGCCCCAATATATCGAGTGCGACGAGTTCGTTAACCCGAGAGACCGTGATAGATTGTAGCGGTGGGCAGGCGCCTTTCGCTGGTGGTTTTCGTTGGGCGCACTGAGTGCATGCACCCAGGAGGTCATCCACATCCCTTGCCATACCCGGCCAGAAGAAATCCAGCTGGAGCACGGCAAGGGTCTTGTGGGTCCCTAGGTGCAAAAGCCGCTCGTGTGCGGCCCAAACGGCCTTACCCCGCAAAGCGGATGGCACCACAAGCCTGTGACGGCAGGCCCTCCCATCCCAATGCATTAGGAGCCCCTGGAGCAGCCCGTACGAATCAATGCCCGCAACCCCCTGCCCGGAACCCCCTGCGCGACGACGCAACGCGAGGAGGGATGCGTCCTCCATCTGGAGGCGCCCCCATTCCGCAACGGACAACCTCGGCAAGGAGTCCGCACCTCCCTCCCCGACAGGACCCTCAGGCAAGGGGTCCTCAGTGGCAGCAGCGAGAACCGGGATATCTAAGGGGGGGCTATCCTCTGGCGGCTTACAACGCCCCAATCCCCTGAGACAAGCGCAATCTGAGGCGGGCGGCAGGCGAGACAGTGCATCCGCATTAGTGTGCCGAGCACCCTTCCGATATGTGGTCGTGAAATCATAATCCTGAAGGATTTCGAGCCATCGGGACAATTGCCCCGAAGGCTGCGTCACCCGCAAAGGATATTGTAATGCCGCATGGTCCGTACGGACAGTGAAATGCCGACCGTACAGGTATGGGCGATACTGTTGCATAAAAAAATACAATAGCCAAGAGTTCCCGACGCGTGACGCAGTATCTCTGTTCCGCCGGAGACAAAACCCTACTGCCATAAGCCACGACGCGTTCCACACCACAGATCACCTGTGAGAGCACACCCCCAATGCCCGTATTGCTGGCATCTGTATCGAGCAGGAAGGGTTCCGAAAAATCGGGGAAGCTCAATGGAGAGGCCCGCACGAGAGCGTCGCGAAGGGAACAAAAAGCGACCTCCTCCTCCTGGCCCCAGTGAAATTTCACTCCCTTCGCCGTCAGAGCGTGTAAGGGCTTAGCAATGGTCGCGAAATCCGCGACGAACCGCCGGTAATAAGACGCAAATCCAATGAAACTCCTGACCTCAGCCACCGAGGTGGGGGTTGGCCAGGAGCTGACACACTGCGTCTTTGCGGGATCGGTGGATATACCCGAGCGGCTGACGATGTGCCCCAAATAGCGTACGGATTCCCGTAGCAGGTGGCACTTTTGCGGCTTAAATTTCAAATTCGCAGCACGCATTTTGAGGAACACGGCGCGCAAGCGCAAAAGGTGTTCGTCAAATGTCTTGCTGAACACGATGACGTCATCCAGATAGATCAAACAGACGTTCCACTGAAAGCCAGCCAAAACCAGTTCCATAAGGCGCTGAAATGTCGCCGGAGCGGAGTGTAATCCCATAGGTAACCGGTTAAATTGGAATAAGCCGTGTGGTGTGCGAAACGCAGTCTTTGGCTTGGACTCATCATCCAATGGGAGTTGCCAGAATCCGGATAACAAGTCCAACGTAGAAAAAAAACGTGCGCCAGCCAGAGCATCCAGAGATTCGTCCATCCGGGGAAGTGGATACGCGTCGGCCACGGAGATCTTATTAAGGCGGCGAAAATCCACACAGAATCGCAAGGACCCATCGTGCCTTTTGACAAGCACTATGGGTGCTCCCCATGGACTGGTGGAAGGGGCTATAATGTCTGCAGCCAGCATGTCATCCACTGCCGATTTGACATGATCTTTTTCGGCCGGACTTAACCGAAAAGGATTCTGGCGTACCGGGGCATTGTCACCCGTCTCAATGTGGTGACGCAACAATTTCGTGCATCCAATGTCATATTTGTGTTTACTAAAGACATCGGAAAATTCCGTCAGAAGGGTGCGTAGGCCGACACGCTGGGAGTCGGACAGATCACTCGTGCCCGAACATAGTGCGTCCATCCAACTATCGTCCCCCTCAGAATGCGGTTTAGCCAGAGGATCGGTCCCCACATTACCCATAACCGTGTCTACCACGGGGACCGGCGTCGCGTGCGCGAGCACAGTTCCCTGAGGAATGACAGCCGTCTGTACGCCAACGTTAAGGACAAGGATAAACGGGTCATCGCTCCCCTTAACGAGCGTTTGAGCGACCACCAGATCCAGCCCGTTTTCCCCAGCCCTCGAGGGCCCTAACAGAATTCCCTGGTCCAGAACACCGGGCACGAAAGGCCGACGCAAGCGAAGGGGCACGAGCATTTGCGCCCCGGGAGGTACACGCCCCGTCCAAGTGACGAACGCTTGTATCGACGCGCACGCTGCCCTTGAGGTGACAGGGGAAGGCAGGAATGTTACCCGTCGGCCCGAGGGAAGCTCGATGCAACCCTGATCAATTAGAATTTTAATCAGCATTTTGCCCAAAAAGTCCGTCCCCAACAAGCACGGAACCGCCAGCGAGGACGAGACTAATATCGGCCCGGAGAGTTTGATATCGCCAATGCAAATTTGTGCTTGAATTTGGCCTATGATACCCAGCGAACCCCCGTTCGCTGCGTAACACGGAACGGTGACTGGGAGCAAGGGGCGGCTTTGAACG